AAGCCCACGACGGGGAGCAGGAGGTCACAAACGGCGCGCGCGCGCGCGCGGCGGGGGAGAGGGGGGCTCAGATAGTCGGAGGCCGCAGTCGTAGCAACTCATAGACGTATTACACACACAAAGACTCATAGCAACTCGTAGACGTATTACACTCACAGAGACCGAAACCCGCCCAGGTCACCCGTTCCCGCCCACGAACCACCTCAGACAACCACACCACCGGTCTCCCTCTGACTGCGCGCCGGTCGCTTCCTCGGCCTGGGGAGTCGCCTTCCGCTCTCCCTCCCCCCTCCCCTCGATGGGCCGCCCTCCTCCACCCGCCCTCCCCGATCCCCCATTTCCCCAAACACGCCCCCCTCCTCCCCACCCTCCACCCCCACCTCCTCCTCCTCAACCAAATCCCTCCCCCTCTTCCTCCCCCTCTCCCCACCGCCCCCCTCCCCCTCCCCGCCCACGCCCCCGCCCTCTCCGCCATCCCCCACCCCGTCCCGCGCTCCGAGCCCGGGCGCCTCCTCTCCGCACCCCGCACACAGCACCCCCCCATTCGCGGAGAGCACCCCGTCCTCTTCATGTAGTCCCGGGCTGTCCCGTCCATAGGCGTGCCGGAGGTAGAAGAGGTCGACAGCACCCCCATGCGGGCCGCCGTCTCCACCGAGTCGGCCCTGGGCCCCCGAGGACCTCTCGGCTTGCCCTTGTCGGAGCGCGGCTTCTTCTTGCTGGTGGCCTCGAGCTGCGCCGCTTCGGCCAGGATCCCCTTCCTCAGCAGATCGCCGTGACAGGACTCAATCCTACCCGCGCATAGGAGCACAAGATCCGTGCCGTCTCGAACCTTCTGTGCCAGTTCGCGAAGCGCCGCCGACCGTGTCCTCCAGAGTCGATCGGCCTTGTCGTCCAGGAACGCGAGCTTGACCGGGAGGCGCGCCTGCCGCAGCGCACGCTCGCACTGCGCCGGCGAGCCCGCCTCGGAGCCGACGATGCGGTGGAAGGCCGAGGCGATGAGCCGATCGTGCCCCTGCGCCGCCTCACTCAATCAATGGTCATGGACGGCGGCATGGTGCGCAGGAAGTAGACGAGGGTGGTGTTGGAGCAGTAGCGCATGAGACAGTGCTGCGCCTGCTGCGCGATGTCGAGGCTGGGCGCGTCGCGCAGCTGGATGATGCCGTCGAGCGGCTCGAGGGCGATGCGCAACAGTCAGAAAAAAAAAGCGTTTTGCCGCGCAGTCCACTCTAACCTCCACCGTCGCACTCAACCTCTACACTGCTCGATGCCGCCGCGCAAGAAGGCCGGCGCCTCGTCGCAGTTTGATGCCTCGGAGGTCATGCAGCCCGTCCAGGCTCTGCGAGGCCGCATGGATGCCGCCGGCTCGTCTCGCAAGCGCACGCTCGAGGAGGTCGGCGTGTCGGGCGTGTCGAAAGAGGTGCAGCACATGGGTGCGGAGGACGTCTCGGCGGAGATCGAGGCACTCTGCATGCGCGCGGTCGCCTCCATCATGCGCGGCGACGGCTTCTCCTACATGATGCCCTCTCGCGTCGCATCCAACCAGATGTACGCCCACACGCCTCCTCTCTCCCGCACGCCACCCCAAGAGGATTCGCCCGCCGGTCGCCTCTCCCTTCGCTCCGCCTGCACCGCCGCGCCACCGCCTGACCACCGACATACGTCCACCGACACACGTCCTCTGATCCGCTCACGCTGACGCTGACTCGCCCACGCCCCGTCCAAAGCACAGCCGCCCGCCCGCGCGGCTGACACTTGTCCGGTGTCTCGCGGGGCTGGCTCGCCCGCAGGTACGTCAAGGAGCTCGACCGGGTGGTCCTCAAGGAGAAGATGCTCGAGCGCGTCTTCTCCAACGCCTCGTCTGCGCGCAAGACGGCGACACCTGCCGCCGGAGGCTGGGTCTGGGGTGTGAAGCGGCGCGCCTCTTCACGGCGTCCTGGCGTGAACAGGCGATCACCACCCGGCTGATGCAGATTGTGCTCGAGCTCTGCTCGAAGGGCAT